CTCGTGTTTAGCCCTACTGGAACCAATTAAGTGGAGTACAGGTTTGATCATATAGCCGTTTGATTGTCGTGTTCGATTGTGGATCTGGATCTGGATCACAGGCTTTCACTGATGGTGTACTGGTTGGACACATCGATATCCCACATATTGTTCAATTATCCTATGCGAACCGATTGACAGGGCCTACGGATAGATGTTGTCTACTCGGGATAAGCACAGCAAACGGTCAATGTGAGCTGTTTTTCTCAACTTGCTACCTTCTTTCCGTGAGCATACACTCGCTTTACTGGGACCATGTTAACGCTTTTTCCACAGATTAGCCAACACTTTTCCACTTGCCCGGACCCAGACCTGATGCCACAAGCCTCTGCGGACATCAAAAAGATGGTGAGTGATCTGTACTTTATACCTTATGCGTTCAAAACGGCCATCTCAACAAGCCAATGCCTGGGACCAAGAGATTTCTAGCCTCTCTCTGGGACATCGAGAGGGCCGATTCTTGCTAGAGATAACCTAAGTCGAGTCCATCTCATAGCATTATTGTGCATATGAATCTACTTCAGATTCCAACAGCTGTCACTAGGCTCTTTAGAGTTCATGCAAAATGATTGTCTGTTTATCCTATCAATGGTTGTCTGCAACCGCGGCAGCAACCCGAGATAAACCCGGATACTCAAATTCTTCGCCTGCTCCCACCCCTTCCCAGCGAACAGACTCGACCAGCAAAGCTAGTTACTCCCAGTACAGTTCCTACACAACTATTCACCACTTATAACCAGTTGACTTGGCACGAATGCTCCATTCAAGCTTATTGTTCAGCCGTTTGAATTTCCTGTTGTACTCTGCAGCCATACAAATGATAGTCGGACTGTATGCTAAAGACTTCCTCTCGGAGATGCAGTCATTACCTTGTCTGAAAAATTCAAGCAAACATCAAGTAAGGCTTGTCGACGTTTGGGTACATGCAGTTAAAAGAATTGACAAATGAACTTTTCCAACTGTGATCGCAAAAGTGGTACACCTGCACTGCTGTTCTATCCTATGCTATCCAAACATAAATTGGCGAATCTATCGACACAGATGACTCTCGATTTCCGACTCATTGTTCCAGAAATCGTTTGTTGTCTATAGACTAACCGGCAATTGAATTCTATCACTTTCAGCTGTGTTCTTTTGAACTTCCGTAATGGTCAGGTACCTAATTGACGGCTGTGCCAACCCAATAGTTTTCACTTTTTTCCCAACTCCGATATCTTTCATCAACCTTTATCAACCCGAGTTGTTATGCCGATGTAAGCAACTTTAGGCGACGTTTTCACCACAGAGAACTTTGACGATTGATTGGGCTTTTCTTGTCACCAGTTTTACAAACTATTTTTCAGTGGTCAGTAGTACACAGCCCCAAGCAAACCTCTGCAAACTTCAGTTTACAGCAGCTGGTGCTCACGGTTGGGTACCTCAACGAAACCTCCTTCCGCGGCCTGAGCAACCGAGAAGTATCATTTGCCCGCGCAGTTCAGCGTCCATCGACCTCCCTCCCCAACCCGCGCAAGCGAGCATCGCTGGGCCATTTGACTGTCAGTCATCTGACCGAAGGGCCTTAGGCTCCTCGCTGCCTAATAACACCGGTTTAGGTTTGTAATTGTGCGGTGATATTCGGTAATCAGTCCAAACTGCACTTATCCTCGCTTTATTGGGTTCTCTAGAAAATCATTACGTCATTCTCTCCCTTCTGTAAAATGAAATGTGCTCTGTAAACTAGGCAACTTTATCAGTCTGCCTCAGTGTAGTCTGATCAATAGTGATGGATACTTCGTGAATCTGGATGGCATTATCGGAGAATAGTTTACACCTGTAATGTCACTCTGAATCTGTTCTTTTTAAAAAAAATCGTTCAGCTGTAACACCCTTTCGGTTCCTGACTGCCATGCCACCCGAAAGAAGCATCAGGGCCAAGATACTGCCGGGTTGCCCAAGCCTAGACAGGAGCAGTCGAGATGTTGAGGTTGGGTTCGAACCTTCTGGTCAGTAAATTCGCGCTCTAACCTCTGAGACATCTCACCGGATGTTATTTCAACCGCACAACCTCACATTTGCAGTTCTGTCTAGTCCAGCACATTGGCTGCTTCACTCATCGATACCACAGGCAGAACGTGAGTAGTAGATCACCGAGAACCAACTTGCTGCCTCATATAGTAGTATATAGTGTAGCCGCTCAGCTGTAACATCTTTTCTGTGCCTAGCAGCCAACCCACGCGGAGTAAGCATGAGGGCTGAGATACTGTCAGGTTCCTCAAACCTAGACTGTAGCAGTCAAGATGCTGGGAGTGTGTTTGCATCATGGGTTGGTAATTCAGTCCCTGAGTTATCTTGAGCTTCCTGTGGCACCTATTTGAAGAGTCTTGCCAACTTTTCTTGCTCACCGAGTGATTCGGTTTTTCAAATGCTTCAATGAGTTTAAATGGACACGCATTGTGGTTACCACGTTGAACCGAAACAACTTTACCTTGTCCTCCTGACATCTGTTGCCTTTGTGGAAGCAACCTGTCAAGTACACCCGATATCGGACGCATGCTGCGCTGGATTCTTCTGCGCTGTCCAATCTCGCAGCATTCGACCGCATCTTCACGCTGACAAATGAATGTGATTCATGTCGTATGCGTTTGAGTATTTTGAGCCATAACTAAGTCCAAATAATCACATATACCCTTCTTCTACAATGCAGTGCCAGTTTTACACAGACCAAATACGTCGGTTGTGTAGACTCACCTGCTGCTAGCTATATAGAGAATTTAATCAATGTCATGTGCGTACCATATACTTGCCTGGTGGTCGGTAGTGTGATTCCAGTCCAATAGGTTAGCTAGCTATCAGTAGCAATGTCTCAAGTATGAGTTGAGTTACTTTGCGAACTATTCCTTTTGGCAGTTATGCACCGGTAATACTGGTGTATTGCCATCTAAGACTACGAGTAACTACTTGATTCTGTGCTTTGGGTGTTTTTGACCTCCCATGTGTTTGAAAACCAAACCGCCCCCTACCGAGTGTTCTGTACTCTTGTTTGAAGCCGGATAACTTCAACCGCTGTCAGTCTGCTTCAGTGATGGCAATACGCTCCTCATCCTCTGTTGACGGGTCGTTTGAGAGTCGTGTCACTTTGTTTGTGGCACTGGAGTCACTGGCTTGCAGCGAAACGCTGAGGCAATAGTCCAAAGTTCTCAATCCAAGCTAAAAAAAGTCGACAACAAGGTCTATTCACGGTTATTTGGTTCCTGTAACCTTTTGCACTCTACAGCAGTCCCTACAAAAGACCTTCACAAATAAAGATTATGTGGCCTCTTGTAAAGGGACTGCCTTCGCGTTTTAGATTGTGGCAGACAGAGAATACTATTGTGAGCTCTGTTGGAGTGTGACCTGTGCTCAGCAAACTCACTTCTGAAAGGTTGCTATAATTAATGCGATGCTAATCAAAGTGCTGTATGCGTAAGTCCGGCGTCATTTTCGTCATTCTGAAAAACATCACCATCGTGGAAATAAAAACAAAAGTTACGATTGAGCGGGGTATGTTCCTTGGGAAAACGGCCAAGACCGAAGTACCTACACCTTCCAAAACCGTTTGAACAAAAATCCAGATCGTTCAGCTGTAACACCCCGTTGGTGCCCAGCTGCCATGCCACCCGAAAGAAGCACGAGGGCTGGAACACTGCCAGGTTTGCCAAGCCTAGACGGGAGCAGCCGAGATGCAGAGGTTGGGTTCGAACCACGCACCTTCTGGTCAGTAAACTCGCACTCTAACCACTGACCCATCTCGCCCCTAATGCTGGAGGGCAGCGTCGCGTTCTGCGTGATGACGCTATTTCAGGATTTCACATGTTTAGTCGCGACCAACTTTTCTGAGTTGATTATATCTCTAGAATGCGACCCCCGATGTACTCTGGACAGGATTTGAACAAGTTATAAACTTGGAGTAACCTGTAAAAGATGACAGTTACGCTATTCTCAGCTTGTCCGAGTTGACTTCCAGCCTGGAAATTAAGACGAAATGTTTGTGGTCAGAGGCTAGCCAACATGGCGAAAGGCCGAAAACAGTAGCGCTTCTGTTTGGTCTTTTCACTGTCACAAACCCTTCTGTTTCAAATCTACTACTCCGTTTTTCAGTGAACTTATATACTAAATGCTACTCTGTCTGACACGATAACCCTGATGGACCAACTTTGGTTTATATATAAATGGCTGGCGTCCGAATCGAATTTATCGACCTGCCTATCCAGTATTTTTCTCATAAGATGACGGATCCGGTCATGGATGGACCAGGTAACTGATGGAGAAAGCGATCGAGATGAAAATTTGTAGTAACGGTATTTCTCTCAGCTTAGTCCTCAGTCTGAGCCTCCCAAGCTAGCGTTCACGTCAAAAACAACCATCAAAGGCGCACAAGGTATATTAATGCCCCAGATGAAGTCAGGAACAATTGTACAGAGCTCCGTATATATAGCGTAGGCAGTTATAACTTTCTGGAATTTCTGACGCGTTCTGGATGCGCCATTGGCAACCGGCATTTGGCCAATACTGGGTCGTGATTGGCTGTTGGGTCCAGACTTTCGACCAATCGGATCTCGTCTTGATGCCGGACCGGCAAGCGTCCCAAATTCTTCGCCAGTCTTGCGTGCGATGGACTTCTCGGACGTAGCAGCACTTGAGTGCGAGTGGTAAGGAGGGATCCGTGTGGAATTCCGCCTAACAAAATTCTAAATAGAATTCGACCTGATATTCGGTTTGATGAAAATTTTTACAGCAAAGTGATTCCGTGATCTACCACTTGAGGACAAATTTGTGTTCCCGGAAAAGACAAAGAAATTGACTCAACACAGAAAGTCTCTCAGATTATCTTTCGGTTATAGTGCGTGATCGATCGATGATTTGTCAAACCTCCGCCTCACACAGTAAGCGCAACTATTGGCAGAAAAGCAGTGTACGGCTTCGGTTACGCTCATGGCCCGTCAAAATCTTTCGCCCCCAAAAGTGCTGTTTCGTTTGGTTACAACTGCCATGCCACACAAGGGCTGAGCTAGCGCTAGATTACTCTAGCCAGACAGAAGCAGTCGAGATGCCCGGATTGTGTTCGAACCACGCACCTTCTGGCCGACAAGTTCACGCCTTAACCACTGAGTTATCTCGAGTCCCGAAAGAAGAATAGCTTGAGGAATTACATTAGCAGTAGGTCAACACCAAACGTTCATGAAGGATTACTTAGTAAAGAGTACAACATTTCCCCAGTGCTTCACTTTTTCGAATGACCCTTCTAACGAAAAATGCAATGCAGTACCTCGGCGTATGTCAAGCATTGTTGACAGGAGAGGTTTTGCAATTTACTAGAATAGCTTGACTCTGTTGTTTTCTTTTTGCTTGATGTTGGTAATTTCCTGGGGGCGAGATGGTCCAAGTGGTTAGAGCGTGAATTCACTGACCGTAAGGTCCGTGGTTCGAACCCGACCACTGACTCTCGACTTCCCCTGTCTAGGCTTGGGCAACCTGGCAGTATCCCAGCCACCGTGCTTTCTTCTAGTAGCATGGCAGTTGGGCACCGGAAGGGTACTACGGCTGAACGACCCTGGGGAAGCCCGTAACCGTAGCTGATTCTGGTTTAAGTTTCGCTGCTGTTCTGGTGCTGCACTGAACTGGAATTCAGTCTGACTCCAACAGGACTTCAGGCGCCCACGTTGTTCTCCGTGTTCATCATAGTTGTGACGCTGTTTACTAAACTGCCGATCCAACATGCTGGTTCGCGTGCTTTATGAACTCGGGTTGCGGCGCAAACTTACCGACTGAAAGGTCCGTGATTCGAACTCAACCTCTGCATCTTGGCTATTCCCGTCTAGGCTTGGGCAACCTGACAGTGCCCCTAGTGTGCTTTTCGGCATGGCAGCTAGGCACCGAAAGGGTTTCACAGCTGAACGCCTTTCACGTACTTGCCTCAGACTCCAAACATTCGTGACCCATCGTCCTTCTTTGGTTACTAATACTGAATTGCCTCCCTCTGTTTCAGTCATTGACCGTTCGTCGTGTACCCGAGCTCGCTCGACTTCGCGGTATTCTCTCTGTTCTCACCGCTCCCGCAATGACTGTCATTGACAAAGTTTTGTGGAACGATGGACATGGAGCTTTGGCAACAGAAGCAAACCTGAAGGTGACCGAGTTGCGAAATCTCATCAAGGCCATCTATAGCTCATCCTCTGCACGTGATCACTTGTTGAGCAAACTTCATTAGACCAACAAACTATGTTTATGGAATTTTCTTTTTTTGTTACCAGATTCATGTTTCTATCCGGTGCAATAAAACGGAGTTTCGAAACGTGGCTTTTTACGGGTCCTTTAAAAAATTAAATTATTCTCCAATTTTTGTTGTACAACTCTGGACAACCTGGTTTACTGGTGGTCGATTTCAGTCGTTCCCCCGAAGAGAGGCAACCCCATGGAAGAAACCACAAGGCTCCTTTCCTTCCTCTCCATATGCACTCCGACCTGTCCAATAAATTAGATAGTGTTCGGCTGGTACGGATCGATGAGTGGGGAATGAAGTTGGGCAGCTGACCGAAAAGATTTTTTAACTTCAGGCAGCCTAGTACGCTGTCATACATATCAAAGTACGCCATTTTATTTATTAAGAGGGAGATACGATGGGAAACTTACATGGGAGGAGTGGACTCCATGCTACGCAATGTACCGACAATGTGAAAAGTCATACCAGTGAGTGTATCTTTGTAATGTACTACTCATAAGGTTGCTGAAAATCCGTCGACAGCCCACGACCGGTTTCGCCCTTTTTGAGGCTCATCAGGCAGGCGCAGTCCCCAAGTTTCCGTCAACCTTATGTTCTACTGGAACCCAAATGGTACGAAATTAGCGAATATACACTCATTTGCAAACCAATTTGGTTTTTCGGGAGACTCACCTGGAACCCAGGTGAATCTCTCGTTTACGATGTTCTCAGGCAACTGAATGTGCTGCACAGCCATACAAATGCGGGTTTAAAAACTTCACAAATTTACTAAGACGTGTTGGAATCCAGCTGAGTTTGTCAAGGTGACTGATAAGTTCAGGCACGAAGCTACCAACCGGAAGATCCGTTGTTCGACTCCAGTGCTGGCTTTTTGATTGCTACTGTCAAACTTGGGCAACCTGACACTATTGAATATCTCTTCTCGTGTCTTACCTCAGCTATGTCTGGTATTGAGTAATCACGCTCCGAAATTCCACAATCTCGCTTTCGGAAACTCTGCGAAGAAATGCAATTTCGGGCGGGATAGCTCATCGCTGGCACGGTGGTTCCTCGTTGTAGACTACAAGTGAAGATTCGGTCTCCTTGACCACAGATAATTGTGCAACACTTTTACCAACTCAAAGAATTGATTATTTCTCCCTTTAATCCTTCTTGTACTTTGTCGACCTTGGTTGGATTGTCTCAACTACTACTACGCCGGTCTCAACGTGTCTGCGGGAATTTCGCTGCTTCCTTAGGCTCGTGATCCTCGTACGTGATGGATTTGTAGTAACCTACTGTTGATTGTATGCTTGGTCATCTAACGTCCTCCGAACTATTGTTGTTGTCTCCATCTTGCGTGGTTTGCGTTCAGCTCTGTCACCCTTTCGATGCCTAGCTGCCATGTCACCAGAAGGAAGCATGAGGATTTGAATGCTGCCAGGTTGCGCAAGTCTAGACAGGAGAAGTCGAGAGTCAGAGGTCGGGTTCGAACCACTGACCTTCCGGTCAGTAAGTTCGCGCTCTAACTGAGTGGTTTGCGCCAGAGGCATATAACGAAACACGGCATCTGCTCGGTGCAGTTAGTTGAACCGAAATCACAAAAACGGAGCAAACTTGAATCTACAGCTGTTGCAATAGAAGGTAGTGTGTAAATAAGCTATGACATAGACTTATCAGTCAGGGATGCTTTACGGAGACCAGCCGTCCCTAATAACCGAACACCACATCATTTCGACGGATGTGCCGCGTGCAGGACACGAGCTAAACGAAGTCATGCCCTGATTGGTCAGAATGCCAACCAATCCGAGTCAAGCACCTTTGACTCGATACTTCTCGCCCCCTCACGGAAATTCTGGCATGACCTTGTCGAACACTCTGTGACTACCCTATAAATACAGTTGTAATAATTTTCCTTTGTCTCCATAAAGGCTGTGTAGAGCTACCGTGCTTTTTGATATACCATAGTGAGCGGAGCAGGAAGCCAAGGGACCGATACAGGGTTGCACTACCGTTTAGCATGACACAACAGATGTGTAGTCAACATCTCAATTCTGAGGTTGAGATGGCATTCGCTCAATCAGAGACAGACGTCTTCAATCAGTGGCTTTTGCCGCTAGACAAACATCAGATACACTGAAGTTGTCGGGGTATCACTCCTGCTCGTTCAGCACTGAAAATATCACACTTCACGCAAATCGTATTGATGACATCTGGCGGATATGAATGACCAAAACAACCCATGATGTATACTATTCACGCGGGTTGATTTTCCGTCAGGCATTGCCTCAGGCAGGATATCTAACTCACTAAATCTGGTGGATTTCTCCCAAAAAAGTTTGGTACCATCTGTCATGCTGTAATCGTGCATGATTGCAGTTTTTTTAATCTTGGCGCGATAATAAACATTGGCACTGTTCTGACCTAAATATAATCTCCCACTTCTTGTGGGTTATTCGTGCGACGGGAGGTTTTGCTATCTGTTTGATACGTATCAGTTGGTCACCTTAGCAGTGCTATCTATTTCTATGTGATGACAGCCTCGACTCGAGTTCCTAAACACTTTGTAAGGTGTACATCTTCCATGCGATTCACACCATAGGGTCGTTACCCGCACTTCTCCATCGTGTATGGTTGCTATGATACTATAAGCTTTTGTTATCACGTGAGGACGTATGCTGGTACTGGTCAGCTGGCTCAGCTATCTGGTTTGAGCCGTTTTTTGTTCTGAGGGGAGTGGTCCTTTTCTTGAAGGAAACTACTCATGGTTACTGAAGACTATTAGACAGTCCTCGATCAGTTTCGCCCTTCTTGAAGGTCATCAGGAAGCCACAGCTGCCGAGTTTTAGTCAACCTTCTGTCCTACTCGAAACCAGATTGTATAAATTGTACGCATTTGCAAATCAACTTGGTTTCAACGGGGACCTAACTGAATCTCTCGTTTATGATACTCTTCAAATAAGTGCGCTGTACAAACACTGTCTCGTTTCATTTGAAATAACCCTTTGTTATTACATGCACTACAGTTATTGGTTTGAAAAATGGATGATAGTAATAGGAAGAAAGGTCTTTATTCTGTGCTTCATTCATCACGAGGTTATCTCGGCACCGATAGCGACCAGACTAAGTATGAATTGCCTTTTACTATCGTCAGTAAGACAAAAGCATCGACAGATAAATCAGAATGAACACTACGACATCAAGGTCAGCTAGTATTGAATAGTTGACTCCATACTAAAGTGCCAACTATCTTGAGCTTGCTGACTTTTGTTCACACTCCACAGCCAGTTGGTCAATCGATACGCGACAAAACTGCGACCGTGGAGTGACGTATAAAGATGGTGTAGTGAAAAATGTCTTTACCCTTGCGTGCACCCCACATACATTGGACCTTCCAGAGGGCTCACTACGGGAAAAACCACTTTAGCTCTGAATTCTGCTATCGTCCAGCTGTAGCACCCTTTCGGTGCCTAACTGCCATGCCACCTGAAGGAAGCACGAGGGCTAGGATACTGCCAGGTTGCCCAAGCCCAGACAGGGCAAGTCGAGAGGTAGAGGTCCGGTTCGAACCACGGACCTTCCGGTGGGTAGATTCGCGCTCTAACCACTTTAGCCATCTCGCCCTCTGAATTGTACCATATTCATACAATGACAAACTAGGAGTTTATCCAGATCCGAAAGGCGAGATAGGCGTTAAACAAGACGTAGCTCTGGAAACTGTGGAAGTTTTAAGATGGGGACTACAATTCATAACACAACGGCTGACAACCGAGACGGTTGAAATCGCCAATTGTCCTATCGTGAATAGAATAGAGAGCGACGAGCTTGTGGAGGGCCGTTTCGGATAAGCGGAGTTGACACGTGACGATGTGTGGCTGTCAGTCAAGCAGTATCGCTAGCTCAACTCGGCCCAAATTCACGTATTCCTTTCCCGTCATCTAACTGTTTTAGTGCTAGTCCACCCACACTGATTGACAAAAACTGGAACATTGGGATCATCACATGAACCCAACTTCTCGCAGGTTTCACCGTAGAACATCGGCTATAAGATATGCTATAACCCATACTCGCAAAAAATCCCCTAGCCGAAACCTACCACTGGTTCACCCTCCCAGTGGACGTAGATCTTGCCGATTGTTTCTAATTCTACTTTGTAATCCTCACTTGGCTCGGCGAAGCTAAAAGGCTGCGAATAGAAAAATCTGCCGGTTGCGTTTTTTGAACTCCTTTAAAATCACTTACTTTTCACTAGCATTCGGCGCATCATCGATTGCGACCAAGCACAGTAGCATGCAATGATAAGCGAGGTTAAATAACGCCAGAAAAGTATAATTGGGAGGGCAAAATTTAAGTTCGATGCAATGTGAAGTAGAAGTAGCCAGTTATTGAGTAGTATCAATGTCTTTATAAGTAGGGGTGGTCAATCACGGCGACAATCCACCGCACGGTTTCTTCTGTGGCGAATGAAGCGGAATTCGGCCACCCGACGTTCAAATACCTAACCATGCTACCCCACAGTTGTTGCCATCACTTGCGCGCTTGGTGAGATGCCTCAGTGGTTAGAGCGCGAATTCATTGACTCGAAGGTCCGTGGTTTGAACCCCATCTCTGCATCTCGACTTCTCCTGTCTAGACTTGGGCAACTTGGTAATATCCGAGCCCTCATGGTTCCTTTGGGTGGCATGGCAGCTAGGCGCTGAAAGGGTGTTGAATTTGAACTATTAACGATTAGCTTTGGATTTTATCATTGTACAGGATATGGGTTTTTCACCCCGTGTGTCCATATTCGTTACGATGGAGGAACTGTCAGTTAACAATCATTCGCAAATTCTTCGTAATGCAATCCAAAATGCCACTGACTACCGAGATTAATTCTTGAGTAGGGTGCCGAACTATCGCATTCACTTTCATATGGCGTAATTTTAACCGGAGACTCAACTAAAACTCTCGTTTATGGTATCCTCGACTACCATGAAAATCGCCCTCAAAAGTTGCTTCCACTCAAAGTCCGGTTTCAACTTAGTTGGCTCTAAAATGGCTCAAAAACAGTTCTTTTCAACGCACAGTTTGCTTGGCCCTCTGAGCACAACATACCAAGAAGTTGT